CGACTGCTACCGTGCACAGACAAACCAAAGGGACAGCGGGATCCAGATATGGAACACACTGTTATATTGTGAGTCATCAAAGTGAATAGAGGATTTTCACTCTCTACCCCACAGTATGGCTCTGGTTCCTTTCTATTCAGAGAGGCAAAGTGCTGACTGCAACACTAAAAATCCTCACACACCAAGCACAGTGTGAGTGTGTGTGTGTATGATGTGACAAGCAGTTGACTCCTTTGCTCAGAAACGCCAAAGCCATGGGCCCCAAAACAGGAAGCATTACACACTCCCTACAATCTGTGTGTGTGTGTGTGTTCAGCCTAACTCCTGAACCTCAGCCTCACACAAACATCCTTCCTGCCTGATTATTTTCAGCTCCACCTGCATTTTAATTCCACCTCACAATACACACACACACACACACACACACACACACACACACGGCCAGTCCTGCCAAAACAAAAATTTGCAGACAAATAATCAATTGTTTTTTTGCAGCTCTATATTTGGCCAACACATTCTAATCTAGACAGCAAAACATGTGTGTGTTGTTGTACACAGTAACCCCATACTGTTCAGAGTGCTTTGATTTACTTGTGGTCAGTGAATGCACCACTGGCCTCAGTCGATACAGACCCTGCCCCTAATTGACAAGGCATTGTTAAAGGCTCAAACGCCGAGCATTCAAACAAGCTATACCACCAATTGATTAACTTAAAGACGTCTTAGCAGATGCTTCCACCCACATGTGATGTTTGCTGCTGTGAGGATTGTGCTACATCCATCTTTTCCTTATTCCTCCTGCCTTCAACCAATTGGGAGATTTTAAATCAATGAAACAGAATCTAGGTGTCACGTGTCAGAAGATCCCTCTGTAACACCCCTGCTCCCCCCCGGTCAAACATAACACATCTTAAAAAACACACAGACATGAACCCATCCTCCTGATTGCCAACTCACCACCTTTCCTATTGTGTGCAAGCGAGAGCAGCCATTTATCCTAAATCATGTGTTTTTTCTGGCTGTCTTGTAAACAGGCAAGCTACATTTACGTAGGCAGGCAGACACATTGTTTCATTCTATGCCCAAAGGCAGACACTCATCAGCTCTCCTTGTGAAGACAGATCGACATCATATTTGCAAAGCTTTCTGCGTTCATATAACAGCGTGGAAAATGTTAAATTGTCTTAGGAGATACAGTAAAAACCTGCAGATCATTCTGCAAGCATTTAGTGACTCGATGTTATTCAACACATCATCAGAGTGGATTGGAATAACTGATACCTCTGTAAAAAACTGGAATCAATATGTTCTATCAGTAGCTGTAGTGGTAGCTACTTCCTAGAAAGTCCAGATGCTGAATCTCTGAGCCAAAATGTACTTGAAAAATTAAACATCTGTCAAAAGAATTAAAGACTCAGCACTCCCTAATTTTCCACTAAAAACGCTTCCCCTCGCCTGAATTAAGGCTTTCTATTTAAATATTATGTCATCCTTCTCAGACGGAGGGACTGTGATAGCTGCTGGATGTGCGTTGACTGGATAAATCCAACAGTGCCTGTAATACTGACTCAAAGCTCAGAGCCATTCAAAGTCCTTAAAGCAGCTTTCTGAAAGTGGTGCTCGCTGAACTACGAGTGGTAGGTGATAAGCTCATTCCTCAACTGAATCTCAGGGCTGCTGCATATAACCATTCGCATCTGTGCTAGAACATTCCTATCCTGCTTTGAATGTGTCTCACTCACTTTTTTCCCGCTGTGTTTTTTTTTGTCTTTCTTTCTCTCTGCCTCTCAGTCACTCTGTCTCTATCTTTATCATACACACACACACACACACACACACACACACACACACACACACACACACACACACACACACACACACACACACACACACACACACACACACACACACACACACACACACACACACACACACACACACACACACACACACACACACACACACACACACACACACACACACACACACACACACACACACACACACACGCTGTCAAACACACACACACACACACACACACACACACACACACACACACGCTGTCAAACACACACTCTCTCACACACACACACCCTTTTTGAGCAGAAGGAACATTCCTGCTTGCATCAGCCAGAATCCCATATTAGAGTATCAGCAGCACTTTGGCTGTGTGAAATAACACACACTGAGACAGATGTATATGTGTATGAATAACACTGCATGGGAATGCATATAAACAGGATTTCAATGTAGAACAATAGGTGCAACTGAACTGCTACACCCGCTTCATGAGTGGCCAAACAAAATGCAAATGTGTGGTTAATATGCCAGAGGAGGGTCTTCAAAATTGTAAGAATTAATTCACTCAAGTGCTTGCCTTACTTTTGAAGCCTGAGTCTGTGTGGATATGTGCACAAGTATCATCGTAGCATCGTCCTCGACAGCTGCAGAGATTTCTGACTTGAAGCCATGAGAGGATTTACATTTATTTCGCCCATGATGCAGCAGTGTGGAAGTTTTTCTCTGATGCCCGATTAGAGCAGAGACTTGTAGGTTTGATTCGTCAGCTTGATGGTGCTGAAATTGTAATTTGAATAAGGGTTTTTAAGAAATAAGACACACATGTTCGCAAATTCAGGGTGCACAAATGTGATGTGCAGGTGATCATGTGTTGCTGCTCAATACCCTCCATTAGAGAATCTCTAACAGCAGTGCACGGGGTAATGACAGACTGTCTATGTCTCCCAGGGAAGACAGACTTCTGGGAATGTCACAGCACGCACACACGGCAAACAGCTATGTGGATGCACAGGTTTATCCGTTCATCTGGTGATTTCAGATCAGGACAAGTATGGAAAGTATGTGGGGGAAAAAAAACGTGGACACAGAGTGTGAGGAAAAGAAGAGAGAGCTGAACACAGCTGTTCACCGGGGAGCAGTGAGGTAACTGACAGGAGGAAATCGATGCAGAGGGTCGATGGACAAACATTAAGTCCACAAGCTGACAAACACAGCAGACAGTCCTCACAATGCAGCACGGACATAAAGCCTTCACACAGGCTGCCGAGCAGACGCTCTAATGGGACGGGGGAAACCACAACGCTGATAATGTCACCGTGGTGACAGCTGAAGGAGTAAGCAGAGAGGTTGATAAACGAGAAAAGTGACAAATAAGGGGTAGTGAACGTGTGCAGACAAGTAGTGAATTAACAGGAAAACTGGGATGAGGTGATGAAATGAAAAGTGTACATGAAGTCTGCATGGCGTGCTGAAAACTTGTGCATCAGTAAGTGCATTTAAACCACAACACACATTTATATTCTTTTTTTTAACCTATGGTCTTTGTCAACCACATTTCCTCACTCTTCTCTTCAGCTTACTAAGATTGCATTTGTTTTGAAAGCATGGCCCTCGTACAAAGGGCTCCATGTGATAGGTCAAATGTTAGCATGCTGATGCACATATATCGTTTTTTGGTATCACTATAATATGAGATTTATTGTGCAGTAGCCTATTTAAAAGCTTCCATAAAGAATACAAAGCACAGCTTGGTTCAATACGTTTCTGACCCCCACTCATAAAGCAATGCATTCACTGTCATCTTCAATCAATGCCAGTCGTTCAGGCGATTGGATTGGTGGTTCCAGATGAAATCAAAACAAACATAATCAGTTTTTTTTTTTTTTTTAAATGTAATTTGTCACATAAGTTTGTGGACAACAGAAATTTCCGTAAGTAAGTTTTGCTTTAGGGTTACACTCGACTCATTCCAGTGAATTGCTGATCTGCAGTAGCCTATAGATGACCAGGACTCAGGAGGGTGGTCATTTTGTAGATAAACCGATAGGGTAAGAGGATGGGTGTTTTTACATGGACATGAGAGGCTTGTGTGATGAGGAAGCCTGTTTTATCTGAGGGTCTCGCACTGCAGCAGCAGTTGGTGAGGAAGGCAATATCCTGTCCTGCACTTTGGACATCCCTACCCCTTCCTGCCACCTCTGTGCTTCTCTACTCCCCAAAACTAGATATGACTAACCTTCACCTATAAATCTGATGAGCAGTCCCTGTCGTTCTGATGACACCAGCCACATACATACTGAGGCCACACACACACACCAGACCTAAACGCCCTGTTCTAGCCACTACAATCTGCTCTCATGTCCTTGATCGATAGACAAGCTTCTGCACAAATTGCTCACTTCATTTGCAATCTGCGTTAAAGCAACACACACAGAGAAAGGCTCACACACACGTATGTGCAGCTTTTCTCTCAGTGCACCCCAGCAGCTATAGCTGAGGCACAGACCTAAACGCCCTGTTCTAGCCACTACAATCTGCTCTCATGTCCTTGATCGATAGACAAGCTTCTGCACAAATTGCTCACTTCATTTGCAATCTGCGTTAAAGCAACACACACAGAGAAAGGCTCACACACACGTATGTGCAGCTTTTCTCTCAGTGCACCCCAGCAGCTATAGCGGCACAGACACGCATGAGACAGAGGAGGAGAGAAAACGCCCTGCCTTGTTCCATGTCGAAAACCCCAGCCCTGTGGGTAGTCTACAACACACACAGTCACACACACACACACCACCTTAATGTTAGCGTTTCTTAAGAGAGCATGTAGAGGTCACATCAGAGCTAAATACCGATTTGGTATCGCGTTTATTTTCTGTCTTTATTCCAAATCTGTGTGAGGCGTTCAGGCGAACGGTCACAGGCGTAAAGCCACGCTGATCATGAGGTTCCATTTATATGATTGCAATTATTGATGTGATGTATTCAGGCTACATAATGACAATAACCTTACATAAATGACAGAGGGGAAATACAAATGCAACGCCTGATTGGGAGAGGTGAGGGCACATTAAAAACCCTGCAATCAGCCAAGTCAAGGAAAACACACAATGTGGTCAAACACAACCACAAAATCCATAGCCTAATCATCGAGTGTGCGCTTTGTAGAGACAAGTGAGAGAAGCTTTTAAAAAAAGTTTTACCTTTGACTTGAGTCTCATATTCGGCCACTATCTCCTTGTCCTTTCGGAATTTCGCTGGAGACGTCATGGCTGAGTTTTGGAGATCAAATCACTTTGCCCTGGTTAGCGCAGTCAGTTTTTGTCTCAATCAATCAAAAAGTCAGACGAAGAAGAAGGAAGGAAGAAATGCCACCCTGGGACAGGATTTGGGAAATATTGCAGAAAGGCCAGATGAGAGAGTGCAGCTTTCCTCAGTGTGCCCTCGGGTCTGTATTGTGTCCCTGCCTCTGTTCACTCCGGGCGCATTGTGAGTTTGGCGCTGCTGCTGCTGTGTGTGTTTCCCATCCGCCGCCGCGCCTCACCGCCTCCTCAAAACCGGTTATGGAGCAAACAACTTCAAGTGGAAGCAGAATCATTCCCCCCTTTTCAAAACACAAACGCGGAAATCTTGTCAGTAAAGCACAGCTAAAAAAAAACAACTTTTTTTTTTCCAGGATATGTTGCCCTGGGCTGGCTGGCTGGCTGACCGGGGTCTTCGCTGTTGCCTGTCCAAATTAAACTGCTCTCCTCCTCTTCACCCCTGAAGTGAGGGAGAGGAGGAACCAAGGGGAGATGGAGGGGCTGGCTGGATTTGCCCCCAGTGCGCAGGACCGGCATGGATACACACATGGTTAGCATTGGTCTGGGTTCAGAAGCAACATTTACAGAAAACGTTATCAAGCTTTGTTGGATTATGTTGTTTTACAGTTTATTTTTTTAATGGCAGGAAAAACTAAAGCAAATGTGAATGTAGCCTGGGCCTATATCCTTACATTAGTGTCAGTCGACATGAAATAATGATTTATGCCGTAGTTCTAGAAAGCAATGTGACGGTCAGCAGACCTACTCACTGATACTGTTGTTTGACACAATGGAAATGTTTGTACGACCCTCCTCTCGTACCTCTCTGACATAAAACAACTCAACTTAACATGTAGGCTAACCCTTTCTAGAAAAGGTCGACCCTCCTCTTTAATCAAATAATTACAGTTTTTCACACTGATTTCAACACAGCCCCGCCCTAATTTTCCCATCCCACAATTGGTCGAATGGATTTTGAAAGACCCTTTATCCCACCAATCGGTTTAAAGGATCTTTGTATTGAGGCGTTTCCGGCTCTCATTGTTATCCAATTAAATTCAGACGTAGTAGCGGGCGGTGGCCAATGACAACGGTTACTATGGCGCGTATCCAATCAGAGTACGCTGTGTGGTCTTTTAAAGATAGTTTCAGGAAGTACCGTTAGACACCAGGAAGTTGTAAACAAAGCTGACAGCTATTTAGTTAGCTGTTAACTTACATCTGAATGGATGCTGAGCCAGTCGTGTAAAAGGGGCTAGTTTGTCATAGGAGACGTGTAATTCTTCCTGATACAACTTGGCTTTTCTTTCATATAAAAAACGCTTCGCGGAAACATATATTTGTTGAAGATCTCCTGTTAGCTGTCTTCCGTTAGAAGGCTAACGTCTCAACAAGGACGTTATAATTAGATAACGACACACCTGAGCTGAACGGATATTGATTATATATCAGTATCTGTTTTTTTCTGTTTGAATTGTTTTCTGGAGGCAGAAAGAGAGAGAGAGAGTTCATTAGCAGGACAACAATGTCTACATCCAACGCTAATTTCAAGAACAAGTGTGTGACCCAAGTGAACTGTATATTCTGTGACAGTCTTCTGTGCACAAGAGGCATGAAAGCAGTGCTGCTAGCAGACACCGAGGTTGAGCTTTTTTCCACTGACATACCCCCCAACAGGTAAGTGCTAATGTAGTTAGCAGGGCTGCTAGCCTTTGTTTATATCTGCTGTTGTTGTTGTCAGGGGATGACACCGCTGTGCTAACTAACAACACACTGATTACTCGTTTGGAAGAGGGAAATACTGACAGGAGATATACATCGTAATTTTGTTATTTTATTTGAATGGAAATATGACATAATTGTGGCTTTTAACCAGTAATGACCATGTTTGTTTATGCTCCCTCCCCCAAGAACTGTTGACTTTGTGGCCAGCTGCTACTCCACTGAAAGCTGCAAATGCAAACTGAGAGACATCGCATGTCTCAAGTGGTATGTATAGCTCCTTCACAGCCTGCAGGGTTCACTTGTTGTAACACCATCTGCTAATGTGAGATGTTCATTTAAAAAAGCACAGCCACCACACTTTGTACAGCAGACAAGAAGGTCTTTCCATTATTGATTACTGAAGTACCCACAAGTTGAGCTGAAACTAGCTATTATTTCCATTGTCTAGCTACAACCTGTTTTTGCCTTTACATGATACTTATCTCCTTAATTGACGTTTGGTTTATTGAGAATCAGCACACATTTTGATAAATGCTTATTTCAATTTCTGTGTTGCTTTGTCTGGCAAAGAATCCAGAGGTTTAATGAACAATGATGTAAAAGAGAAAATGGACAAACTGTTGAATCTAAGAAGCTGAAAAAATAGAATACTTTGTTTCTACTTTTCTACTACAATTCCTTAAACTATTAATCCATAATCCAATTTATTATCAATTCCCGGTGATGATTCAATAACCTTTATCTTATTATTTCCACTCTACACATCTGTAGTTAAAGTGGATTTCTGTCATTTGTTATTCATTTCTGTTAATAATAGGCGTTGTTGCTACAGTACAATTTTGTTGAGCTTCTTTTGTATTTCCAGGCCTTTGTTGCTGTACACAGGGCAGAAAACAAACATCTGTTAGATAATAGACATCCACTCGTGGAGTTAGCAGTTTTCAGACGTGCCCCTAGCAAAGTGCTGACACATGTTTCTTCTTTATTCTCCCCCTCCCTCTTCCAGTGGTAATGTTGTGGGCTACCATGTTGTGGCCCCCTGTAAACCCTGCCTGCTTTCCTGTAACAACGGCCATTTCTGGATGTTCAATAGTGATGCTGTTTCTACTCTCAACAGACTGGATTCGACAGGTCGGTGTAACACCTAAAAAAAACAACTCATATTTTATGGATATTTTTTCTGCTGTTAAATGTGTTTTTCACTTGCCTTTGTTATCCTCCCATGTTTTCTCAGGGTTGAATCTGCTATTGTGGGGAGATCTTCCCGAGCTGGATGACAGTGAGAATGAAGAATCAGAAAGCCCATCAGAGGAGGAGTGTATTAGGTAGAGAGGTGAATGGACAATGTGAGAGACGAGGAATGCCAACATTTAAGAGGCAGAGCTAGAAGAGTGTACAAACCATGCAGAGAAAACTATGAAGCCTTAAAGGGTAATTTAATACTGTTAAAATGTGGCAGAAACTTCTGCAGCACAGCTCTTTGTAAGTCTAAAACTTAAACGATGGTGCACACCTGGCAACACGCCGATCAGTGATGTCACAACAGGTATTCATTTTGCCTTTTGTTAACTGATGGAGATCACCAACTGTGGCATCAATGATCGGCGCAAAGCGTGCACCGAGTATGAACCCTGAAAACAGGACAATAAACTGTTTTGCCCTACACGGTTAAGTGTTGAATTACCCTTTAACTTGTTGCCATACCGATCACCACTTTTCACTGTTAAAAGCACAGACATGCACACTTTCAAACACAATCCTTCCTCACTTTCGAGTTCATTTTTTGGTGGACCGTGACCGAGAATGATGTACAGCTAGTGCATTCTGCTTGGCTTTGATCGGCTTCACGGGCGATAAGGAGTGTGAGAGTGGAATCCTCCAGGGAATGCTGTGTATTCAAGCTGTTAACATTTTTTTCATTTTCTGGAGAAATGACCATGACATTCAGCCACCGTCTTTTTTATGGCGGTTATAATCTGTGCATTGAACATGGTGTAATAAGCCATGTCTCCAGGCTTATACTCTTGGTGTGGCTAGCTGCCGACTGAAAAGTTCGGGTGCTTTTGGAGTCGACGTGTGAGAGAAATAGCACAATTAGTGAATGATGTTTATCTGTGAGTACCTTGCTTTTGAAGGGCATATTTGATTGAGGTTATCTTGCCGTCTGGCGTTCTATCAGCGATACATTTTTGATATGCTAATGCAGTGTTCGTTACACATCTAGCGGCAGCAGTATTTATTCAACATCCAGATTAATCTGACTGTAGCGGCATCTGATACTAACATACTAATTTGTATCTTTGGTATGCATACTTACCCTGAAGCAGCTGAATTTTATTGTTGAGAGTTCAAATGAGGTAACGAATTCCCAGATTGATGATATGGGAAGGATGGAATGGTAACTAACAGAGGTTATACCACATAACGTTTTATCCTTAAGGAAAATGGTAGCATGGCATTCGTCCATGTTTCATTTTACTATTCAGTTTTATGTTGCAGCACAATTGTAGCACCTGAAGAGAAAAAAATAATTCAACTCCTAAGAATCATGGGACATATCAATTTTGAATTTATGGACTGCTAAGATAGTTGTGTCACAATGTGCCAGTTTATTAACACAGCATTTCAGAATTCTCAATTCTCAGCGTTCTGCTAGCCTTACTGTACTTTACTCGATTTCCCTGAAACTGAACCCCCTGTTGTTAAAACTGTGGATTTGGCTTGATGCTGTATTTTAAAGTTTCTCTTCCGTGCCCTGCTGATACTTTGATCATGTCTTACACTTACAATCTCTTTGAGAAGAATAGTATAAGATTTGCCTGTATTTTCAGCAAATGCTGTTCAAGGAGCTTACATAGAATGTTATCTTTCCTGAAAGAAATGGAAACAGGAAGTAGGTGTTTGTTTGTTTTTTAATTTAAATCAGCCTCTATATTGGTTAATGCTATAGCTTTAAGTTGTGGTAAATGCACAAAGAGGTGGAGGAATTTGTCCAGATTTTCATGTTTTTCACCTTAAAGGTATAACTGACAAACGGCTACACTTGCACGCCAAATACTGTGGTTTAACTGATAATACAGTGCAGCAGCTCTAGGTATTTATTAAACCCACAAACCAAATATCTATAACCACATACTTCCTTTTCGTTTACAAATTTTGTTTACAATTGCATCCGTTTCTGTGTGTTAGTCGTTTTATTTTATGTTTCGTTTTTTTTTCAACCCAAAATTTAAAAAAGTTAGGACATTGTGTAAGATGTGAATAAAAAACAGAATTTGAAACATTGAAACCCGATGTTTAGGATAAAAAGCAGCAAGACAACATGTCAAATGTTGAAACTGGGAAACGTAATTTTTTTTGGAAAACATTATGCCAAGTTGCCGACAACATGTTTTAAAAAAAAGTCTGGAGACTGGAAACTGTGTTTGTGTTTTAAACAAAATAGAATTCTGGGATTTGATTGTCTACAGATAATGTTATCATTATTGATATCTCATCAATTTTTGTATTTGTGCTATTTTCAATTAGATATGGGGTTTCAATCATTTCTGAATCAGTACATTCAGTTTTTGACATTTTACACAACATCTCAAAGTTTTTTTGAATTTGTGGTTGTATTTAATATTTCATTTGCGATGTAGTGCTTAATTTTGTACGTTCAAAGTTTGATGTGTACAGTGTTACCTCATGAAGGTATCATTGCGAGCTTCCTCTGGCTAGGACAATTGTCAAAAGATAATCGAAATAATGATATAAATGGCTGTTCCTGATGTGAATAACTGATTAACATGACCTGCTGAAAAATGTATATTTTGGAATTGCACTGAAACTGCATTGGTAGTTTGAGAAGATACTGTGTTGTTTTATATGCTTGTTAAATTAATAAACTTTTCTTTTTAAAAAAATATTTTAAAGGCCATGTAGTTCTGTTACTTGGACTGTTTTTAAAAATCTAGAGAAACGCTAGCCTTCAACCCGTTATCTCCTTACCCTGTGACACAGAGAGAAGTAATGTTCCAAACCCTGAAATCGTATTTCACACTTTAGTATTGTACAGAGTTCTCTCTCATTAACTGTGTACAGCAAACTGCCTTGACCAAGAAATGATTTATTGACTACATGAGTCGGTTTACTACGGCCACAAATGACAAGCTCGTCTCAGATTGCCCACACAACTTGTCTGACTGATTTGTAACCCCCTGTAGTCTTTATTAAGACTTTAGAGCCTGATGAGTAAAAACAGGATTTTATAACGAACAAAGTGCAAAAAGTTGACGCAAATTTGAGTCGCTCTTTCAGGATATGTTGTTCCCATTAAGTGTCATTATGATGTTTGAAATGCACAGTATTTGCTATTGTCAGCACATCATGTGAAATCTTTTACTACAAAAACCTGGAAAATCCTTGTGATAATAGTTTTATGATCCTATATCAAATATCTGTGCTCGGTTAACAACAAAAAGGTGGTGCTAGTCTGGATATGATTATTCTTTTTAGAAATAAGAATGTAGGTTTTTAACCTCTACATGTTCTGCAAGAAAGCTAACACTTTCTTTTTAATGATCTGCTTGAACATCGATAATTATTTTTGCATAGCTCATCATCATCAAACCTTCACTGCTGCTGCTGTCGGGGCATGTACCTGGCAATTTAAGAAGAGATGGCAAGAAACATCAGATCCAAATAGTTGTGGCTTGTCCTGTTTTCACATGTTTCTGAAGCATCCGCCCAAATTACAAATCATTTCCTGAACAACCGCTCTATGTTAGTGTTATATCCTACACGATCTCATGAGCCGTAATGGCCTGTTTTCTGTGCAATCCAATACGTTTCCCACAAACTTCCCTGTGTATATCCAAAGGTCAGGGTCAGGGGGAAGAACTGGGTTTGGGTTTTTCCTTTTACTTTAAGTGACACTCTGCTTCAACACAAGTTTCTTCTCAAAAAGCAGGGAAGCAGTGATTTGCTGGATAAAATTGTATGCGTAGCACTCGGTGCATGGTTGTCCTCCCTAGAGGAATAAAGGATAAATAAATCCAATACATTGTGACCCTTCTCCAGTGAAAGTTGGTTAATCAGGCAGGGATTCTAATTATAGAACAACATGCTAATACAAGTCTAACAGATCACATCCTGTCACACCAACCCTGAGTTTGAACACGGAAACCTGATCGTGTAGTTTCTGTTAAAAATGGCTGAATATACTGATGTATTAAGCACCTGCACAAAATGTGAGTCTTTTGCCTTTCAGTGTCTCGCACTGGGAAAACTAGTAATGCAGAAAAGCTGTTCAGGATTTTTAATTGGGCGGTCTCTAAATAGTTTTGATTTCAAATTAATCTTGAATTTACATTCAAAACCAGAATAACTATGATTTCCAAAGTGACCAAGTGCAAAGGCTCAGGAGTTTGAAAGTAGAGGATGAACAAATGGATTGATACTTGAATAAAGCAAAGTCAACTCTTTCATGCCACCTATTATTTAGGGAAGATTTTTGCATGATTTAGATTTACGTAATAAGGTCCTGACTTTAAAAACTTTAGCCAGAAGTGGAGAACAGGTTGGCTTTGGCCTGAGCAGGACACAAGGCAGACAGGCATGAAGTTAATTTGGCAGCTGCTTGACTGAACTGTGTGTAAACGGAGGACAGGTGTGTATTGAACATATAGCAGCTACAAAGAGCTAGGCAGGTGTTTAACTGTTAAACATAAACAGCTGCCAGGTGAGCAGACACAGAGAGAAGATAAGGTGTTTCTAGTTTCAAATAGATGAATTTTCCTTTTTTTTGTATATTTGTAATAAAAACCTTAACAAATTTTTTATTTTTTTTTAGTCTCCAAAATCAGCAAAAAGAGAAAATTCTATTCTTGTAAAGCACATGTGCAAATTTACCCTTTTCATTTAAATTGGGACCATGGAAGAAGGCAAAGGTGTTACTCATAAGGTTAATGAGTACTTTGCTCCATTTACAGGTGACATGTGAGCCATACGGGCTGTAATTGATATTGATAACACCTGTGCGTTTCCTGCTATGGCAAAACCACCACATAAACAATAAGCGCCTACATAAGGGGAAAAGTGTAGTTAAAAAAAACAACTCATACATGTAATTATATGAAAAATTAAACAATATATTTTCATTAGAAAATAATTGTCAACTCTTTGCAAGTAACACATCCTTCTCTGTGTGATGGTGAAACATAATATCATGACTTAACTTATGTCCAAATCTTTTCAAATGAAATAAAACACTGTCAATAATACAAGAATGAACGTTCTACATCTTTTAAGAAAATCAGAAAAAAGTCTTAATAATCACTAAGTTCTGCAGCTGCATTTCCACTCCAAGTGTTATCACTTCCTGCTGGTTCAACCACAAGTTAAAAATGTACAGCTCAACTTCCTGTTGCATGAGTGTCAAATCCCCAAATGACACTCTGGCACACTCTGTTGGATGTGAGATGAAACACAGCTATCTCCTTTTACACTTATCAGTTAAAAAGAAAGAAAAATGTGACACAATGGTTTGATGTTGAAGTAATATTTGAAATGAAAAGTAAGTATTCTTTAATGTCAAATTAATTTGTAGCCTATATCAAAACACTAAATATTTCCCATATATATGTGTATACAGATAAAACAAAACTGGACTCCCTTAAATTCAAATTATATTGTCTCTGCATTGTCTTTATCTGTATGTTTTTTAAATTGTGATTTAGGATTTTTGGTTGTATTTTAATGAATCTATTATCCACCCATGCCCTGACAAACTAAGGGAGAAAGCCTTTTTTAGACAACACACATCCAGCTTTTGTACAGGTTCCTGTCACGATTATGGAAAGGAACAAAATATACGGTGTTTTGATATAATTATGATTAGATAATGGGATTTACTAAGTGTCATCATTGATCTTCCTGTAATCCAGGAAATAGAGATTGTTATGGTAACGTAGGTTGCCATAACAACGTGAGCCAAAACACGATGGTCCTCTGTTTAAGATGGTCAAAAAGTGGAGGGTGGACTTTTCAAAGGTTAGATAATTTCTTTTGTATTCACAAAGAGAAGGTGGAATAAGCAATCAATCCAACCTTGTAAAAACAACCTGAAACCTTAAATGAAAATACCCTTATAAATGTATCAAGAAAACTGAGAAAACACACCCTATTGACCTACATTAGTCCCTCCGGGTGCAAAAGAAAACCTGATCCACAACACCTACCAAGTACACAAAATCATAGGCGTCAATCTCTCAGTGTGGCCATACCACTCCTTAGCTGAACATATTGTTTAAAAGTTTAATTTTCTGACTGTCACCCACATATAGACTGTATATTAATATGGATGGAGAAACAGCAGCCTGGGAGTGAAGCCAAAAATATTTAGCGCTCCCCCTGCTGACTGTTAGCTTGTTAGCTGCGTTTGTGTTCACTTCAGTTTTACAGTGCACAGTTAGTGACAAATTTCTCCCAAAAATACAAAAAAATGTTTGCGGTTCACTCACTGCGCTTTGATTCCTCTTTCTCTCTTGTTCTCTTTCTCATTCTCTCTCTTTGTCACCATGCACTGATTTCTGGTTGCTTAACTTCCGGACACTGCTGTTATGGGGCTGCAGTCAACAGAGGTAGGCTCCACTGTGTCATTTCAAAATTCTTATTGCCAATAGCATTGTAGCTTCCCATTTAAATAGAAAACACAACGACTCAAAGAATATACTGGATTACAGCAGATAGCTATGTTTTAGATATTATGTATATATTCTTTTCCTCCTATGTGGGGGAGGGGGGTACTTTAAATACATTATGGGCTCATGTATTATTGGAATTTACAGCTTTAGAGAGTACCCCAGTAATGAGTCTTGAAGACTGGCACTAAGAGACCAGTCAACATTACTTAATGCACATAATCTAGGCTAGTCTAGAATCGGGTCTGCTTGTTGGTTTCTATGTAGTCATACTTCTCTGAGTGAAGAGATATTCTGGTTTAGAGGAAGTACAGGTCAGCAAAATTGTGTGTCTCTGTCAGCAAGGAGCTTCAACAATGTGGGAGAATTTTCTACAGCTGAAGGTTATGTGGCTGGACTTCTAGCTGGCAGATTTCCACCGCAGACCAAGCAGTGTAACCTGAGCGGGATTATAAAAACTTTTATAAAAACACCCTCATTCCTCCAGTTTACTCGATGAGATAGCATGTCCATTTACAGTTACCCACTGTGGAAATGTTGACATACAAAACCATACTAAAATGAGCAAACACAAATGGAGGGTTCAGGCTGGAAGTAGCACTGTTGTTCTACTTTGACAGCCTTCTCAGGAGGAAATCTTTACCTACTGTACTGCCCTGTGTGACCAATGCAGGTCGCTGTGGATCCATACATGTGGGTTTCACAACCATGGCAAGACCCTCCCATTTCCAAACATTCCTGAATGTGAACTTGAGTGTCAAAAGAGATTCCCTGCAAACAACTCTCAGGAAAGACATGGCCATCCTCCTTTTTCCAAGTAGTGGATAATGTAGGAGCTGAACGTGTGTATGTGGCTCACGAGAGAAGCTCACTTACAAACTGAATATTTATGGTGGCCAAAAGAGGTGAAATGTATCGTCTTCCAAAGAGATCAAGCATTTTACCACCAGGTGGCAGCATTGACAAAGGGGTGATAGAGCTTAACCGTACTTAAGATCCATGATCACACCATAACACAAGTAGAGTTCTACAAATATCTCGGCATCCACATAGACTAAATAATAAACTTGTGTGGAAGGCCCAGGTGGAAGCTGTCTGCTCCAGAGTGCAGCAGAGGCTTCACAGAAGACATTTAAACTTTTAAACTTTAGCCTGAGCTGCATATATCAACTGTATTTTGCACCTGTGAATTTGCACACTTGACTGCTTTTTTATAATAATTCTT